AAGGTCTTCGGAGACAACCTCAAGGACGTCATCAACATCACACAGATCGTCAAGGGATTCGCCGAGGCATTCACGAACCAAGAGGCGCTCGCCTCCACGCAGGTCTCCATGCAGATCGCCCTACAGACGCAGCTCTACAGGCTCATCTCCACGCAGATCGCCACGCAGGTCTCCGCGCAGGTCTCCACACAAGTCTCCACGCAGGTCTCCGCGCAGGTCTCCACACACATCCCCAGCGGAGGAGGATCAACGATCCCAGATCAGCGCCCCTGAAACAGAGGACGATGGCGGTATTATCTTCTCGGACGCAGAGATAAGATATTGGATGGCCAACGGACTGGAGTTAGCGTAACCCTCTAAGGAAGAGAATGCAGCACTCGCGTACCTGATGAAGGACGATGATGTCGACACGATCACTCTTCCGCCAATTGATCCCATCTCGGAAGTTCCAGAGAACTTGGACGAAGCCTTCCGGAAGGCAACGAGATCCCAAGCACTGAATATACCACAGTTCAACGGTAAGAAGTTCTCCCTACACAATATGGACCCCTTCATGAAGGCACAAGAGATCGATGACAACTACAAGGTCATCAACGCCGCCCGGACCAAGTCTTATAAGATTGACGACAAAAAGCTGGCGCAGATAGAGACGATGTCCAGAAGGATGTTCTTCAGCCTGAACAGATCCAGGGCAGTGAATGAGACGCTCATCGCCAAGTTCAGGGACTCTACCGCAGAGGAGGACCTGATGATCTACTCTGCTCTACTCATGCAGAAGAAGGACCAGCAGTTTATGACGGACCATCTGTCATCCATCTCAGCAGCGTTGACGTTGGCGAGACGACAAGGACTACTGGCATCGTGCACCTGGAGCGAACGTTCACGAAGTCGCTGTACAGAGCCCCATGGTCGACATCATCCACCTTCGCAGGGGAGATTGACAATGTCGCCAAAGAAGTTGCCAAAGACTCCAGAGAGGTCCTCATGATAAAGTCCATTGATACACTGGCCACTGTCATCAGGCAGACGTCCCAGCGCTACTCGGGCAAGTCGAAGTTCGCAGGCATCCAAGAGACAAGAAAATGAGCACCTTCAGAGGAGGGAAGGACTCTTTTTGTCGCCCAGCCGGCAACTATAGAGGACGACCCGGGTGAGGCAGGGCACCCAGAGGCGCCAAGAATCAGAGACGATGAAGGAGGGGTTTGGAACGACTGGAGTCTTCCACCCCCGGCCGTTCCTGTACAACCTTCACAAGTGGGTGGACGTCTACGAAACTACTGGGAGAACTGGGGAATTCTTCAAGATCCATTTGTATCCAGCATCCTAAGAGACGGATATCGCAACTACAAGCAACTCCGCCGTTGACAGACGAACCTCACAAGTTCAACTTCACGACCCATCAGACAGAGAGGCTACGAGAAGCGGTCACATCTCCACTAGAGAAGGAAGCCATAGAACTCGTGGACCAGGACGAGCTTTCACCAGGGTTCTACTCCCCAGTTTTCCTAGTGCCAAAGAAAAACTCCAAAGAAAAGTTTCCGACTCATCTACAACATTAGGGCCTTCAACAGAGATTATCTACGCAGACCACCAAAGTTCAGCATGATACATCTCCCACAACTCCTACACCTTGTCCGTCCGATGGACTACATGGCCAGCATAGATCTACAGGACGCCTACCTGCATATTCCTGTACATCCGGACTCAAGGAAGTACCTGAGGTTTATACTGGACGGACGACACTACCAATGGAAGGTCCTGCCATTTGGAATATCATCGGCCCCCTGGTTGTTTACAAGGGTGACGAAGCCCATAGTCACATACCTACATCATCGAGGTCTACGCAGTGCCTTCTACCTAGACGACGGGATTCAAGTACATCAAGATCCCAAGCATCTCAGACTACAACTGGACTTCACCATCAGACTGCTTACACAACTGGGGTGGCTAGTGAATCTCCTCAAGTCGGACCTAGAACCTACACAGGACCTGCGGTTCCTAGGAATCCAGTTCATCACAACACAGAACCGCATAGTGGTACCAGAGGACCGATGGCTCAAGATACAACAGACGATCTCGCAAGCTCTACTCTCTCCATGGCCACTACGACAATGGCAGAGTCTGTTGGGTCTCCTAACGTAGGCCTAACGCAAGACATGACAGCCAGAGGGAGACTACAACTACGCCCACTACAGGTCTTCGTCAATGTTCATCTAGACGACCCGGAACCTTTCGGACTCCCGGAAGCGCTACGCCCATATCTACTATGGTGGACCCAGAGATCGAATGTTTGAGGAGGCACCTACTCAGCAGAGCCGGAGTGCAAGACGCATCTTTACGTGGACGCATCGCTCCAAGGTTGGGGAGCACGTCTCGACAACGAAGTGTCAGCTGGGACGTGGACCAACGAGGAGAAAGATCTGCACATCAACATGCTGGAAATGAAAGCAGTACTAAACACCATACTCCACTGGACAAACATTCTGGAGAATGCTCATCTGATGGTGCATACGGACAACTCCACAGTGGCGTTCTACATAAACAGGCAAGGATCAACAAGGTCTGCGAACCTCCTGGACCTCTGCTTTCAACTGTTCAGCATAACAGACAACCTGAACATCCACATAAGAGCATGCCACATTCCAGGAGCCAAGAATGTGATAGCAGACACACTATCCCGTCCAACGCAGCCATCCCCAACAGAATGGATGCTACATCCAGAGATCTTCAAGCAGATCATACAAGAGATGGGAGCGCCACTAATAGACCTCTTCGCCACAAGATTCAACAATCAACTGATAACTCGTCTCACCAAAGCATGGGCAACGGATGCTCTAAGCATCTCCTGGGAAGGACTAAACGCTTACACGTTTCCACCACCAGCTCTAATACCGAGGGTGTTGCAGACAATCAGCCAGACGAAGGACCTACAACTGATTTTGGTCGCGCCTTACTGGCCAGCGAGAATATGGTTCCCCATTCTCATACAAGAATTAGGACAACCTCAACTGCAACTACCAGAGTGGACGAATCTACTAGTACATCCTCACACAAAGCAGGCGCACGGCAACCCAGAGGTGTTCCGGCTACGCGTGTGGACTGTATCAAGGCGTGCTTGAACAAGAGAGGATATTCCGCCAGGGCAGCGAAAGCAGTCACACTAGCTCTACGCAAGTCTACACGCACCTTGTATGACGACAAGTAGTGAAGCTTCGAGACATACGCTGCGAGGACCGGCTTTACAGCCATAAAGGCGACACACCCTCAAGTGGCGGGCTACCTTTGTCACCTACGACAAACGAAGCGGTTAAAAGGGTCAACCCTCTCAACATACCTAGCGGCATTGAGCTCAGTCATCACCATGAGGACAGGTGCAAAACTGACGAAAGTACCAGAGTTACTGGCCTTACTACACTCTTTTAAATTGGAGGACCAACAACAGAGATTTAAAGCTCCGGCGTGGGACCTCAAAGTAGTTCTACGACATCTCACCAGTGACGTCTACGAACCATTAGAGAGGACATCCTTCGAGTTCTTGATGCAGAAGACGCTGTTCCTGATCGCCTTAGCAACAGCAGCAAGGATGTCGGAAATACATGCTCTGGACTTCGAGAGAACACGATTTGATGAAAATCAAAACACCGTGCATATGGGACTGCGATGGGACTTGATCGCAAAGAATCAACTGCCAGGTCAACCGGACAGACAATTCCACGTCCCACCGCTATCATCAGTCCTTGGATCACAGGATACGCAGGACCTATCCTTGTGCCCAGTAAGAGCATTGAAAGTCTACCTACAAAGATCAAGGACCAGGAGACGGAAATTCAAGCGTCTTTTCGTCCCGATATCAACAGCGACACAGACGGAGGTCTCCCGCACTACGATATCAATCTGGATCAGAACTGTCATACTATGGGCCTACAAAGCAGCAGGACTGGATCCTCCACGAGCCAAACCACACGAAGTTAGAGCTCTGGCGTCAACACTCGCTCTACATGGGAATTGCTCTATCAGGACGATAATGGAGGGCTGCTTTTGGAAATCAGACATGGTGTTTGCCAACCATTACCTGAGGGACATCGCCACCGAGGACGTCTCCGGCATTCACCATTTCGGCCCCCTGGTTGTTGCACAACAGTTGACAGTCTCTGAAAGGCGCTGAGACGAAGTCTAGCCCTTTTATCACGTGACTTGAAAAAGCCTACACTCGGAAGAGTTCAGCTTTAGAGTCTATATGCACGTCTAAGGACAGACTAGCATAAGTGATATGACGCAGTACTTGTAAGGATACTCGTACAGAAAAGGGTCGCTTCTCCACTTGATGCTTGCATCAAGAAATGGAGTCGCAAAATCCACATAAGATGTTAACAGAAGCCAGGACCAAAAGTTAACAATTGTGGTCCCCCCGTCAGAGACAGCTGGAAATACCGGGTTACAGCAGCAGCAGAGACTAGCAGTAAAATAGCAGTGCCAACAAGAAGTTCCCATAGGGGGGTATATAAGACATAAATCACTAAATGAAATCCAGAAGTAGCTTGACCCACCACCAAATCCGACGGATTCTACAAGCAATAAGCATGAGTCAGGATAAGGAAAAATATGTAATTTTCTGAATAAAATTGATATTTTATACTTATCCTGACTCATGAGGTAAGCCCTCCCAACCTCCCCGCTAGACACTTTGGATTTCCCTGCAAATTAAAGTGTCGGGCTCATAATTTGGAGAGAGTGAAGCATGTGGGAGCGGTCAAGAGGGATAACTCTTGGTGAGTAGTTATTTTACGTCTGTTTTTATTGAAGGGAGCTTCAATAGAAGATACAAGTGTTCCACTAACGTTCGCAAAAGGAAGGAGACAAGCAATAAGCATGAGTCAGGATAAGTATAAAATATCAATTTTATTCAGAAAATTACATTTTTGTAAGGAACTAGCAGTTACTACCTTTGCAATATTCTTATAAATGCTTACCGTGGTTACAATGATATTTATTCCTCGCAGCTTGCTGTATACAAAAGAAAATTGACCCAGACTGCATGGTGGCCTGTTCCTTCGACATCGACATTGCAGCCATCATCAACAGACCAGATCTGTTTAAATGTGTGAACTTTCTCCCAACTTTTACCCAGTGTGCAGCAGGTAAGTCCACACGTGTCCCTTCCTCATGCTGGTAGGGGCTCTAGGGCGATGGGGTAGCCTGGTGGTTAAAGTGTCCGCTTGTCACACTGAAGACCCAGGTTTGATTCCCCACATGGGTACAATGTGTGAAGCCCATTTCTGATGTTCCCTGCCTCGATATTGCTGGAATATTGCTAAAAGTGCTGTTAAACGATACTCACTCACTGGTAGGAGCTCCTGTAAATCTGGAGAGTGATAGTACCCATATGATATCTGCTTGTAGGGGCAGTGGGGTAACTTAGTGGTTGAAGTATTCACTTGTCTCGCTGAAGACCCAGGTTCGATTTTCCACATGGGTACAAGTTGTGAAGCCCATTTCTGGTGTCCTCCGTCTATGATATTGCTGGAATAGTGATAAAAGCAGCATTAGACTAAATTCACTCACTCAATCACTCCACATGGGCACAATTTGTGAAGCCCATTTCTGTTGTCCCACGCCGTGATATTGCTGGAATATTGCTAAAAGCGGGGTAAAACCATACTCACTCACTCACTCAATCACTATGCTTGTAACAGCATCCAAATTTAGTGGGACGGAATTGTACTTTCAAAGCTGCTACTAAGCGCTAAGTGCAACCGTATAGGTCCGTACATCCGCTTTTCAGGTACCCATTTTGAACAGCGTGGTGGACTGAGTGCAATGTGGACGAATTGCCTTGCCCAGGGACACAACACAGTATGAGACCCAGGTCACAAGTTTTGGTGTCTCCACTGGGATTCGAACCCGGGCCTTTGGCGTGAGAGGCCAGCAAGCTAACCACTACACCACCGTGCTCCACCATAATTATTACATATCTACCACCAACATTACTGCGGACTCACTAATACAGTTGATACACTGTAATCCAAGTCAAATCCAAATCATTGCAGTGTTCAGCCTCTCTGTCACTATCTGAATCACTATCTTGACAGTGCCTATTTATTGTCTTGTGTTTCAGATGGAAGTGATCATAGTCAGTGCTGTAAGAATGAGGGCGTGGCACCATACTGTCTACCTTTTTGTTCTGGAAATACACCAGGGACTGGGAACGCTTTGACAGATCCTAAGATGCTGCAGTGTATTGACCACTCCGACAAGATAATTGGCTGTATGGAAGAAAACAAAAGTGAGTGGATAATGGGTTTCCTACAAATGAAAATAGGGTGAGAATTTCAAAACATGTGCTTTGGCTTTTATCCAGTCCATCCTGTTGGGTGTAAGGTAGCTTTCTGTGATTAATTGTATCTGGATATGGGGCAAATGGGTAACATAATTCTCTCCACTGAGCTTTCAGACAGGTTGGCGACTTTGTAGGTTACACTACACCCAATCAGAATCAGTAGTTTAACAAGCACTTTCATAATCCCTCAGTGAAGACTAAATCTTATGACATTTTGTATAAGATTTTTGTTTTGTTTTTCAAATATACATCCATCCAGTAATTAATATTTAGTTCAGTCTTTTTTTACATGATGACTTGTACTGTATGTGACTACAGGTATTTTCAAGCTTTAGACACTTTTTGCGAAACTGGGGTTGGTCTGGTTTAGGTGGTCTTATTTTATATTATTATTGCTTCTTTAAAGCCGGACAATGCACACATTTATATGTATTAGCTGCTGATAACTTTGCTTAATATATATATATATAAATGTTACTATAGACGTTAATTAGAAAATATTGGGTTTTGTGTAACCTGTAAAGTGGCTGGTGCAGCTAGGTTAGACAACTCTGTGTAGTGGCTGGTGCAGCTAGGTTAGACAACTCTGTAGTGACTGGGACAGCTAGGTTAGACAACTCTGTAGTGACTTGGGCAGCTAGGTTAGACAACTCTGTGTAGTGACTAGTACAGCTAGGTTAGACAACTCTGTAGTGACTAGGACAGCTAGAACAGACAACTCTGTAGTGACTATGACAGCTAGGTTAGACAACTCTGTAGTGACTGGGACAGCTAGGTTAGACAACTCTGTGTAGCGACTAGTACAGCTAGGTTAGACAACTCTGTAGTGACTAGGACAGCTAGGTCAGACAACTCTGTAGTGACTAGGACAGCTAGGTTAGACAACTCTGTAGTGACTGGGACAGCTAGATTAGACAACTCTGTAGTGACTGGGACAGCTAGGTTAGACAACTCTGTAGTGACTAGGACAGCTAGGTTAGACAACTCTGTAGTGACTTGGACAGCTAGGTTAGACAACTCTGTAGTGACTAGGGCAGCTAGGTTAGACAACTCTGTAGTGACTAGGACAGCTAGGTTTGACAACTCTGTAGTGACTAGGACAGCCACGTTAGACAACTCTGTAGTGACTTGTACAGCTAGGTTAGACAACTCTGTAGTGACTAGGACAGCTAGGTTTGACAACTCTGTTGTGACTAGAACAGCTAGGTTAGACAACTCTGTAGTGACTAGGACAGCTAGTTTAGACAACTCTGTAGCGACTAGGACAGCTAGTTTAGTCAACTCTGTAGTGACTCGGACAGCAAGATTAGACAACTCTGTAGTGACTGGGACAGCTAGGTTAGACAACTCTGTAGTGACTAGGACAGCTAGGTTAGACAACTCTATAGTGACTAGGACAGCTAGGTTAGACAACTCTGTAGTGACTAGGACAGCTAGGTTAGACAACTCTGTAGTGACTTGGACAGCTAGGTTAGACAACTCTGTAGTGACTAGGACAGCTAGTTTAGACAACTCTGTAGTGACTAGGACAGCTAGTTTAAACAACACTGTAGCGACTAGGACAGCTAGTTTAGACAACTCTGTAGTGACTAGGACAGCTAGTTTGGACACTCTGTAGCGACTAGGACAGCTAGTTTAGACAACTCTGTAGTGACTAGGACAGCTAGGTTTGACAACTCTGTAGTGACTAGGACAGCTAGTTTAGACAACTCTGTAGTGACTAGGACAGCTAGTTTAAACAACTCTGTAGCGACTAGGACAGCTAGGTTTGACAACTCTGTAGTGACTGGTGCAGCTAGGTTAGACAACTCTGTAGTGACTAGGACAGTTAGGTTTGACAACTCTGTAGTGACTGGTGGAGATAGGATAGACAACTCTGTAGTGACTAGGACAGTTAGGTTTGACAACTCTGTGAATTACTTGGACAGCTAGGTTAGACAACTCTGTAGCGACTAGGACAGCTAGTTTAGACAACTCTGTAGCGACTAGGACAGCTAGTTTAGACAACTCTGTAGTGACTAGGACAGCTAGGTTAGACAAATCTGTAGTGACTAGGACAGCTAGTTTAGACAACTCTGTGTAGTGACTGGTGCAGATAGGTTAAACAACTCTGCAGTGGTAACAATATATGGATAAACAAATTCTTGATTACAGTGAGAGCAACATTTCGGTGTAGTTTCTAACTGTGATCAAGTTTCTAACTACACCGAAATGTTGCTCTCACTGTCTCTCACTAGCCCTGTCACTGCTCCAACTTCTAAATGCCTCTCAAAGACATTAGATGTAATGGCTGGGGCAGACAAGTATAGGTGAGATAATTCTGTGTAGTGACAGGGCTAGTGTCCCAAAAGACACAGGATGTTTAGTTTTTAGAGGCCCATAAGTCTCTGTGAGGTAATAGACTTGATTGGTGTGTCAAATGTGTGATTGTGTGTTTAAATTTAGACAGCATTATCATGATCATATTAACTGCCCAGATATTCCTTAAATATTGCTGAAAGCAAACTAAAGCAATACTGACTCTCTCATTCACTCACTATTTGCTTTATTTACTCTTCATAAAAGTAATACAGTGTGGTAATATCATTGATATCAGAAGGATGGTATGTGCGAAACATGAAATCATTACATTAGAAATGGAGAATGACTAGTTACGTCTGATTACTGACTGAATATGCAGCAGGTAGTTCTGGAGTTTCCATTGTCCCCAGATAACATCCCAGACGCACCAGTGATGTTTGCTAAGATCAAGGACAAACAGATCCTCGTCACCTGGGACAGACCTAGCAAGAATGGCCAGAAAGTGAAGCAGTACCTGGTATATGTACAGGAAGGGAGAGCGTCAAGAAGGAGCATCACACCGTGGTGAGAAATCATTATACACCTGTCCCCACACACTCACCCCCCAACATATGCATGACATGTATGGAGTTCAGTGATTTCAAGATATAGATAGTCCTAGATTCAGTAGAAAGTGGCACTAGAAAACACAGTACTAGACTCGTGAAGGGGGGAGTGGAAAACACGGAGTTCAGTCTCCTAGATAGGTAGTACTGGACTTTTGTGGAAGTGGCACAAGAAGGGTTCTGTCAGCTTTTAGATAGAGGTTACTGATAGTACCAGTGGGGAAATAAATCTGTTAAATATAAAATGCCTTAACTGTCCTCAGAAACAAATTCTGTTTGGTGTAACGGGCAAAACAGCTCTAAAAAACTATGAATTGATCACAGAAAATCAGTGATGACACCAGGTGTCTAAGAAACTTGTGGATGTGTTTAACTCTGTGTGTTTTCTTCCAGTCCAAGAACTTCTTCTCTTACACTGTGGTGAACATCAAGGCCAACATCAACTACGCAGTATGGGTAGTAGCCTCCAACGACTTCGGTACAAGCCAACCATCGCAGATCAGAAACATACACGTGGGCGGTATGTTGTCACTGGGACCATACTCTTTTGGGTTTAAGTAGTTTAGTGGCCAAGTAGTTAAAGTGGTTGCTTGTCTTGCTAGTGGCAGGGGTTTGATTTCCCATGTGGGTACATATGTGCTTCCCACATCTAGTGTCAATCACTGTGATACAGCGGGAATATTGTTAAAAACGGATAAAACACTTCTCACTCACTCACTGACTAGTTTTATGGGTCAAGATGCAAGTTATTAAACATTTCAGTGATGAAGCAAAATAAATTCAATTTAACATTATAACAATATTATACAAATCAAAGTTGTTGTTTTTTTAAAGTTTGGAAGAATAGTAGGAAATATATTATACTAAAAGCATTCAAGAACATATAGATGACATTACAGAGCAAGTTCAGCAGCAAGACCAGAAAACTGCTGACATTGTCTTATGCTAAAAAAATGAAGCCAGTTTGTTTGTTTTTTCTGGTATCCATCTTACAAAATTAGTGCTACTGCTATGAGAGATGGTTCGTTACTAGTTCGATGTCTCCTTTATATTTGATGTATTGACATAGTTCCCTGTATGTCCAGGTTTTATCACCTTAATAATAATAATAATAATATGCCTTTTTATATAGCGCCAAACTCTACACTAGGTATGCTCATAGCGCTAACAGTCAAGTCACAGCACATTGGAAAGTTAAGAATGATAATTGTAAAGCATATGAATTCACTGGTTGGGGAACAAATAAGCCGCATCTGAGCAGATTCTAGCATCTGGATAAGTGCTGTAGATGATGATGATGATGATGATGATTTCTTTATAGCTCTGTCACCCAATCCTCCATATGATCTTGAAGCTGTCGACGTCTCTTCAGGCATCAGTCTGATGTGGAAGAGTGCAACTGATGGCCCACAACCGTCAGGATTTGTTATTTTCTACAAGAAAGTTCAAGATACGCGTTACATTCAGGTAAACAACACTCGTGTATGAGGGACAGATCATTTGATTATGGAGTGGTTGAAATTGGTCTCAGGACAGTATCTTGCTGACACTGCACCCATCTTACCCAGACACCCACATCCAAATTCTATGTAAGATCTGTTATTTGAAAAAGTAGAACTGTCATTTTTTTATGGCTTCACAAATTTTGGAGATTCCCTCTAAGCTAGGCCATTGACTCCTTCATGTCACAATAGAACAGTGCTTGTCCAACTCAGTAATCTTATCAGAGAGAGCATGCTGATTTCCTATGTCCCTCATCACACAGATGCCAGTGTCGGTTTCCTCCAGGAAATACAAGCATGTTGGTTGATGCATCATCCTTCCACAAGGGGCGGTGGGGTAGCCTAGTGGTTAAAGCTTTGGCTCGTCATGCCGAAGACCCGAGTTTAATTCCCCACATGGGCACAATGCGTGATATTGCAATATTACTAAAAGCAACATAAAACGATACCTACTCACATCAACATACTGTGCTGTGTTCAGTTTTCTAACCAATAAGATTTGAGCACCACAAACCATCTTCTCTTACATAGGGAATGGGCAACCAAGTGGTCCTCAATGCCACAAATTGTGGAACAATGTTGCATCCCTTGGCCATGATAGGATCCACTAAACCTTGGTTTGATTCCCAGATTATAGATGACAACAAGTGTTAATCATATCACTTTTCTTTCTTCTCTGTTGTGTTCACACTGTTTACAGACTGATTTCCAGTTGACTTAAAGTTCAACTGGGGAATCAACAAAGTATAATATGATATATAATCACTGATAATAGCAATAAAGACACAAGCCACGCTTTTAAAGTATAGACCAAGGCAGGGAATCCAGGTGGAAACTGATCTTCAGCCAACTGTTGATCTCAAGATGACTGAGGCAAGAGTGTGTTCCCTTTAATACATATTAAAGTGTCCACAAGTTTCTGTCCTTCAACTTTCTGTTAAAAGCTGGGTTAGGATATGGCCAATTGTTCTGGCTGCTCTAGAAACTCCTGACCAATCTTTACTAAATAGTCTTAATATTCTTTAATCTGACCTCTTCTGAATTGTAACAGAAACTTGTTAAAAAATTACAACACTTTTCTGCAATACTTTGTACTTGCTTATAACAGTACACTGTGAGAACCCGTGAAGATCTGGGATAGAATTGACCTTCAGTAACCCGTGCTTGTCATAAGAGGCGACTAACGGGACCGGATGATCAGGCCCGCCGGCTTGGTTGGCACATGTCATCGTATCCCAGTTATGCAGATCGATGTTCATGCTGTTGATCACTGGATTGTCTGGTCCAAACTTGATTATTTACAGACCGCCACCATTTGGCTGGAATATTGCTGAGTGTGGCATAAAGCTAAATTCACTCACTCACAGTGTGAGAAGTCATGTTTTAGTGTCAACTGCCTGATGGTGCTCGATGATACTCAATCAGTTTCTTTCCAACAGATACGTACGAAACTCCATAGTTTCCCTTTCAAGCAGCTAGAACCCAACACAGACTACGAAGCATACGTGCAAGCACGGAATCAAGCTGGTTTTAGTGATCAATCAAATGTTGTGCAGTTTAACATTGGAGGTAAGATAGAAGACACTCTCGATTAGATTTTATGTGAAGACTGACCTGCATAGATCTGAAGCTATCTGTCTGATATTCAGTATGCACAGAACAAGCAGACGTCAAGTGAAGAATGCAAGCAACATTGCAAACGCAGTTATGTATTCTGAAAGGCATCACATCTACTGTGATTACTAATGAAATCATAATTTCACATTTACCCACAAGTGCTTGTGAAAGTTGTTGGTTTTTTTTACATTTGAAGTTGGATCAACCTATAGAGGTTTTTGATTGCAATATACATGTATCTTCAGTTAGGACTATTGAACTTTGCCCTCCCTGAAAGTTGTAATTCCTTTAGCAATCACTAAAATATTTATGTTCAAAATGTAATGTAATTTAGTATGTGTGTAATCATTGGTATTATTTCTGACTTTGACCTTTTTTTATACTTTTTGCACTTTGCTGTCATATAGAAAAACCTGTTCATGACCATTATTCAGCCATTTTGTTTGTTAAATGGAGTGAAATGTGTGCAATCTGCAGTAGGTTGTGGGCCAACAAATATGATCAGTGTTTTGGAATGTTTAACAAATTTGACCTTGACTTGAACTTCGACTATATGCAAAACAACTTTTGAGGGTTCGGTCTTCGTGGACATTTTGAACTGTTGACTACATGTCCATGTAAACTACAGTACCCTTGCCGTTATTATCACATTCATAATGAATATTCATTTCAGATCCAGATCCATTCTATAACATAGGTAATTTGCTTCTCAGACCCAATTTCGTGTTTAGTTGTTATTTCAGTTACTTTAAGTTTCTTTTACATTCTTACTTTGGTGTGAGTTTTGAGAATCTGTCATCAGATTGGTACTTGTACTTAGCCACATCCTAGTTTTGTATGTGATTTAAAAAATTCATTGCATTTATTCAGAAATAATTTTGTAGAAAAAGGTTTTCAATTCAATAATTCTGGGTCCAAATGCTATGATTGTGCTGGGACTGTTCACATCCAGGTCCCAGAAACAACAAGTTGCCTTTCTTTATATGACAGGATGTGCTAATGTTGCCAACTAATGTCAGTTTCATTACCTGAATGCCATGCATGTGTTGGCATCTCAAACACAACTGGGGTGACCATTTGGTTGAAGTGTTTCCTTGTCACTCAAAATGCTAGGTTTGATTCCCAACAACAGTGGAATGTTCGAGGCCTCTTTCTGGGGCTGTAAAATCCAGCACCCTCTCTCACTAATGTAAAAACTTTTCAGCATGCAAATTCTTGTTCCTTTCATGTTTTAATATCTGAGTTTGCATGGTAAAATTATTAAAGTTTTGTCCCAAATGATTCTTTTAACTCCCTGTTTTATTGATCTTGGTTGGACAGAAGTAAAACTTCCGTTGTGTGTTTTGTTCTTTGTTTATTAAATGTAAGAACTAGTTGGTGGTCATTCGGGCAGTGGAATAGCATTTGTCACCTCTTTGGAAGGACTTCATATGTTCCCAGCCAATTATTCATTTACTCACTAGACTTATGCCACCAATTCAGAAGACATTTGGAACAACTGTATCCTGGCAGATAATCTCACATATCATTTTGTGAGTATGTGTACAGTCTCATAATTGTCAGTTTGGATATAAGACAGACAGGGAGTTAAAAGATTTCTCTTTATCATCCAAAACTGTGTTCCACAGGAGATATTGCTTGTGTGAGATCATACTGTTTTGACAGTAGATTTTGTACAATGCCCTGACAATTCTATGTATGACATCATGAACTTGATGATATCACAATACTATGACATCGCTGCACAGCAATTCTAATGGCAATACTGTGTTCAGAGATGCACATTTTTCATTGAAAACTAATTAAGAGTGATTTTTGATGATAAATAGAATCTCACCCTCGTGTCTACTGATATCAATTATATCAACACTCGTTGATAAAAGTAAAAATATCCTCGGCAAGCCTCGGATATTTGTATCTTTATCAACTCGTGTTGATATAATTCATATCAGTAGACACTTGGGTGAGATTCTCTATGTATACAGTAGGGGTATCTAACAAAGGTCATATTGGGCTACTGAGGAAAGAGTAGCCTTGTCTAAACATTCTAGGGAGAATCTAAGCCAGTGAAAACTATTTCCTTTGAACTTGTTACAAAACTAGTGACAGCTGTAGAGTCACTCACTCACTCATCGCACTGGACCATTGCAGTAGGTGGAGGAAGGTTTGATTTGTACATGCAGTATCTACTTTAGCTGGCACTGATAATAAACAGGTAGGGTGTGACGTAATGCTGACGATGTTTGTTTACAGGTAAGGCCTCTCCACTACCAAGTGTTTCTGGTCCTTCAGGGAAGCAAATTGGATTGGGTGTTGGCCTCACCATTCTCATCATCGCTATCATCATTGTTGTTCTACTCATCATTTATTTGAAGTGAGTAATTGATTAAGATAATTCATTCTTCTCACTTCGTTAAGTTCCTTACCACTGTTGTATTGGGACAAATCACACTGACATATAGATATTTGCAACAAGGGATTATGGAAACACTCTGACCACTAGAGATAGGGGACAGACCCCTAGAAATATAAGATAGGTTCTAACCATTGGAACTAAAGTACATGTATAGGTTCTGAATCAGAGAAACATTATTCATTCTGACCAACTAAAGTAAACTATAGAATGTGATTTGTAGAATATTTTTGTGCACCTTCATTTGCTTTTGGGGCTGCTCATTCTATAAGTTTTCATGATAGTGTCTTTGTCTTGGACTGTAAGCAGACAAAATGTCCTTTTATTTATGTTTCAGGTGGCGCCGCCGCAACAAGAACAATCAAGCAGGAGAGGCTGTGACGTTTGAGAATCCTTCGTATGGACGTAGTCAGATACAGGTGAGAATACCAGTCTCTCTTCAGTGACCCGTGAAGATCCTGGTTAGAATTTGTCTTCACCAACCCATGCTTGTTGCAAAGCAACTAACAGGATTGGGTGGTCAGGCTCGCTGATACATGACATCGCATCCCAATTGCGTAGATCGATGTTCATGCTGTTGATCACTGGATTGTCTGGTCCAGACTTGATTATTTACAGACCGCCACCATATAGCTGGAATATTGCTGACTGCAGCACTAAACAACCAACCAACTATTAACAGACATTCAAATATACCCAGAGGTTATGTAAAATGTTATTAACTCTTTCCAAAATATAACATAATAGGTGTTGGGGATACATTGTCAATTATTATTACGATTGACACATAAAGATGAAAACCAGTTCATAAAATACATAAAAAACCTCCCTTCTAAATAACAATTTACAAAACTTACGAGATAAAAGGTATACCCAGGGAGGTGGGTGGGTGTCCGTACGCACCGGCTGCAGACGTGGGA